TTTAATATACTGGATTTTGTACCTAATCAGTTTCATGTAAATTAATCTAAAAGCTGCTAATTTATTTACCTATGAAGGTCTTTAACTGCAATACTATTCACATTTTAACCATTGGTTTCTCTGCATTTTAAATTTAAACTTCATCTTACTGAAGTACAAAAGATTATATTGGATTTAGTCAGACTTACGATTTTTGCCTGTGACGTGGAAATTATAAGTAAAGATAGCCAACCCAATAAACCAGATTGAACAGGGCAAAAGCTGTTGGAAAAAATATTCTAGAGTAAGAGTCAATTTTGGCAATGCGGATGTGTATCCTTCCTTCCCTCCAAGATCCTGTCCTGCAGTCTTCAAAGCAACAGAAGAAGCTGGCACAATCTTTGCCCTCCAAACACTGGTACCCATAATCATCTTCTCCTTGCGGCACAGAAATGCTGTTCATTGGAATCAGAGTGGAACCAGGATGGAGACCAGGGGATGTCTGAATAAAATAAGAAGTGAATTTTTGAGACAAAAAAAGTAGCGTAAAGAAAGATCAGTTTGTCCCCTCAAGGCAAACTCTAGAAGGCTCATATGCAATAAAAATAATTTCAGTTTCCAAAGATCAAGTATTTATAATTCTAATATTATAATTATAGATTCTAACATACAATTAACATATATAATTATCTGACATATAATTATAGATTATAATTTACTTTGTAACATAACACTTTTTACATTCCAAAAATTATACAGAAAATAAATTCCTCTGAAAAATAAAACACATTTTATACCTTTAGAAAGTTCATCCACCAAAATACCATCAATCACTAATCTGATTCTAAAAAGAATGAACAGTATATTTCTATGATATTTTACCCTAAAACATTTATAATGCTATAAATGTATTTGTTTGCTATTATGTTATTTTAGTAAAAATCAGAATAAATAGCAAACAAGACATTTTGATAACGTAAAAGGTTTGAGAAGCTATAAATAGACAGGAAGTATATGAGGTTTGTAATAGTGGATAAGTGCAAGGCATCCTATTGAGGAGAGAGGACATGCAGGACTTAAAAACTCAGGTTTGGGAACAATTAGTGTTCAGATTTCTACTCATTTTGCCCATGTAGCTATCTTTAGAGCTGCAATTATATTAGCACCTAATTTTGTGACAGCTGTGAAGAGAACATGCCATAACTTACGTCAAACAATCAGTGCGCCATCTTGCCCAATAACAATAGATACTATTATTATCAGGATTATTTGGAACACACGTCAAATTAACTTTTTCGATACTAGGTTCTGAATAATACTTAAATAATAAGAATAATTTTTGAAAGTACGATAAATCAGGCAGAGCCAGAATGCCATGGAACATTAAGGCGAGCACCGCAGACTCGGACCATCTTGGGCGGAATTTCTAGCCTTGCCTGGCAGAGGAGAGTGAGAATAAGGTCGAACAGGAGATGTGACTGCTCTTTTCACTCTACATCTTCTGCTGTACAAAACTCGCAATAACAACACTGTAGACCTTTTTGAAGGTGAAATTAGATGATGCTTATGAAGCACTAAGCAGAATATTTGAAATATAGCACATATTCAGCTGCCAAAGGTAGTATCTATTGTCGTCGATGCAACTGTTACTGCTGATTGCTGATCAGGACATATCACAATTGATCATAAAATACATGCTAAAGTGAACACACAAACAATAATTTTAGCAACAAGAATGAAAACCTGGAAATTATCAAAAATGTTACTCAAAAATTAATGAATACTTGAATAAAATGGCAAGTAAAATAGGGTTGAAGGTTGCAGTGTTTGTAATTCTTGATCCTTCAGGACTTCTGCATTTTTCAAGGTTATCTTAAGATGTGAATCTTACAACTTATTACAATCAATGTTTCATTATCTAAATACTAAATACAATGCAGAGTTTATAAAAAATTATTTTAACCGGATCTTAAATTCTTTCTAATGTAAATGTTTATCAAATGTTTTCATCCTAAATTTTGAAATAAGTAAATCTCAAAGCCATGAAAATTAAATGTTTTATGAAAAATACTTTA